GCCCCCTGCCGTGGCCACGATTCCATCCAGGAAAACCAATCTCTGCGGGTGCTCCTCGAGGAAACTGTTGAAGATGAAGAGAGGCTGAGAACATTGGGGCTGTTCAGCCTGGAGAAGAGAAGCTGCTGGAGACCTCAGAGCAGCTTCCAGTGTCTGAAGGGGGCTGCAAGGATGCTGAGGGGGGACTCTGCACCAGGGACTGGAGCGATAGGAAAAGGGGTGGTGGGTTTAAACTGGAACAGGGCAAGTTCTAAGGTTAGATCTAAGGAAGAGGTCCCTTCCAACCATTCCATGTGCCCTGTGACTCCCAGGTACTCAGACCCCAGCCTGTGGACAGCCTACCTGGGCCTCACGGACCAAGGCGACCGCAGCGGCGCCAACGTGCAGATGCGGAAGATCAAGCGCATCATCTCCCACCCCTACTTCAACGACTACACCTACGACTACGACATCGCCGTGATGGAGCTCCAGACCCCTGTCACCTTCTCCTCTGTTGTCCAGCCCATCTGCCTGCCCGACGCCACACACAACTTCCCTGTGGGCAAGGACCTGTGGGTGACCGGGTGGGGAGCGACGGCGGAAGGAGGTGAGTGCTGGAGTCGATGTATTTCCATGCATAGGTTTGGCGTCGAGTGTAAATTGTGTCCTTAAATCCCTCTTAATGTTGGGTAGGGCACAGCCTCGTAGGAGGCTTTTCCCCTCTTGTTTCTGAATCCTGGTTGGTTTGGGTTTTGTTTTCTTGTGGATTAGTTGTGGTCGTAGCAGCACCTCTGAGCTGGTAAGCACAGGAGGTAGATAAACTGAGTCTTGGGTTTGCAGCAGTCAATTAGTCCCTTACAATGCAATGAAAATGACTGAAGGAGTTGTTAGTAATTGAGGTGCTCGAATGTCCTTGCACAACCCTTAAGAGAAATTAGTTTCCACATAAAGATTTTTATGTAAGGAGGAGATCAAATGCTGGTCCAGGAACAAAGTAAAAGTGCAGAACTGTCTCAGGCACCAAAATGCTTTCGGTCCCAAACTTGGAAATGTTAAGCTTTAAGCCAGGAAAAGCCAAAAACCAGATCCATTGTTCTCCTCTGTGAGTCTTATGTGGATATTAATTACTGTGTAATGGTATTTATAGTGCACAGTAGAGATGATGTCTTGGGAACACCATGATAGTGAAGGACAGTGTTCCTTATGGTGACATGGTTTAGTGGGGTGATGGTTGGACTTGATGATCCTCAAGGTCTTTTCCAACCTGGTTGCTTCTGTGAGTCTACGTGTGACTTCAGGGACAAGGGGGATCACCTGGACGCAGTGTAAATGCATTGGCTCGCCCCAAGCCTGGAATCAAAGGAGATTCCCTTTAGGAGCACACAAAGTGGCATTAGGAGCAAGCGGGTTGTTCCCTGGTGGTTGGGTTGTTGGGAAGACTGGATGGGAGGGAAACATCACTTGAAATGGCCACATGCTTCTCCTCATCCTGCCCCATCCTCCTCTTCCCGGCAGGCAGCGGCGCCTCCGTCCTGCAGAAGGCAGAGATCCGGATCATCAACCAGACCGTGTGCAACCAGCTGCTGACAGACCAGCTCACACCACGGATGATGTGCGTGGGGATCCTGACCGGCGGCGTGGACGCCTGCCAGGTAGGGACCAGGCTGCTTGCACGGCCCTTCCACAGCTGATTGATAGCCAACAACTCCATGTGGATCCACCTGGATACAGAGTGGAACGCAGGGCTCTGGTAGCAGCACTGAACTGGAGGGGTGGTTTTGAGACTGACTCACTTGGAGGGTAGGCTGCTTGTTTAAGCTCTTTAGTCTGCTCTTACGACCATAATTAATAATAGGACTTTATTAACGAAGGGCCAGGAACAGCTTAATTCAGTCAGAACTGACTCTGAGTTACTGTTTATTGCTCAGTTGTGGCGCTTTCCTGTGACACTGTCCTTACCCTGCCCCTTGTTTCTCCGGGCAGGGGGACTCGGGGGGGCCCCTGGTGAGCGTGGAGCCCAGCAGCCGCATGTTCCTGGCCGGGGTGGTGAGCTGGGGCGACGGCTGCGCACAGAGGAACAAGCCCGGCGTGTACAGTCGCCTCACGAGCCTGCGGGACTGGATCCAGCAGCAGACGGGGCTGTAAGGACACACACGGCCCCCTGCGGGCACCTCTTGGGCTGGGATGTGCACATCCAGCCTCTACTGTGAACTTCAACCCTCCCTCTACCTCGCGCCGAGTCGTTTTCCCACCTCCCACCTTGGAAATAGCTGGTTGGACCTAGAGCAGGTCAGAGTTTATGGGTGGGTGAGTGCAGCTCCTCTGAACAAGGGGGTAGGAGCAATATATTAAATAAAGACAAAAAAACCCCAATCAATCAAAACACAAAAAGCAAAAGCAAAAGCCAAACACTTTGTGTTTAGGGGAAAACGTTACTTGGGACAGGTTCAAAACCAGCTTCTCAGGATAGAGACCAAGTCAAGTCCTGAGCTGCTTTTCAAGCGGCCGTCCGCACCCCTTGCTCTGGTGTTCAGTTTTGGGGAGGGGGTGGGGGGGAAGTGAGTTCTTACCAAGTTGTGGGAGCCCCTGTGGGATCCCTCCCCTGGTGGTGCCCCACGCCGAGGTCTCCTCCATCCGTCCCACGGAGCTGCTGGACCTGGAACAGAGAGGTTGGGTCAGAACATGGTGTCACTCACCCCGAGAGAAGCAACATCCACACAGAGGGAGAGTAGCGTTGGCATTACTGTGCGTGCCTCTGCGCTGCACTGGGTGTGCTCCTGGGGTGCAGCAGCCTCCGAGACCCGTCTGACTTGTGTGAAGCAGAATGTGACTTGTGAATGTGCTGATTTGAGTCCTTTTCCCCCCGTGGAGCCCAGTCCTTGCCGTAGAGCACACTCCAGGTGAGTTTAGGTCGCCCCTTCCGTGCCTGTAAATACCTTGTTTTGTAAAACTCTGTGAATGGAAATGCTCTAATAAACTGGGATATTTTCTAATACTCTGGCTCTGTGCTGCTTCTCCAGCAATCCTGTTCCCCTCCCCTGGGCACTGGTGAGGACACAGCCACATTCCAGGCAGGAATCCTTGCAGGAGGATAGTCTTTACCTCTGATCTTGTGCTTCCACAACGCTGCAGCACTTGTTGCTCTCCCCTGTACCCACACTTACAGCTTCGGGATCCCATCGCAGCCAGGAGGACATCTGGGCAAGGAGGAGATGCTTTTCCAGTCGGAAGTGCGAATCCTTGTGCAAGGAAACCCTAAAAGCAAGAGAAGTGTGTTCAGAGAGGTTTGGTTTTACCACACGCAGCATCACCCTCCAGGGGGAGGTGCAACACGGTGCCTCTTCCCCTCCACAGCGGCACCAAGACACCGTGTTTGCTCCTGGCATCACTTTGGGCACATGTTCCCTGTGCCTGTAACCCGGGAGGAGCCTTGTCCGGATTGCAGGCAGCTTGAATGGATTCCAGTGGCACCTTCCCTCGTCAGGGCAAGGCCAGCACCCTTCAGTGCACCCCCAGGCTTTGATAACCTGGAGAGTCTCTGCTGTGCAGAGTTACCCCCTTCCCAGCTCCTCATGCTCTTGGGAAAGGGCAGCAAGAACGGTCTTGGATCAAAGCGTTCCTGCAAGGCACAAAAGAGACAAGTTACAGGAGCAAACAACATTAACTCAGAGATTCACCCTGCCGGGGGGGCTTTTGGAGGCCAGGCCAGGTCCTTCTGCTATCACACAGCCACGTTGCGCCCTGATGCTCCCTGTCCCCTTCGGCACACAGGGGATGACCAGGAGGTCTCCCAAGGGCCCAACAAGAAGACAAGATTAGGACAGAAAACACAAGCAGGAACCTCTGTTCCTCGTCCTCCAGCAAGGAGCCCTTCCTAACGATTAGTTCTTGCATCTCTAAAGAGAAATAAAGAGACAACCCGACTCCGACCCCACTAGATGTCTCTCTTGGCCAAGGCAGCAGCAGCAGGAAGGAGGTCCAGGGGAGCAGCCAAGGGGCAGGGCTGCAGGCTGCGAGCCCCAAACCTCTCTCCCAGAGGCCAAAGAGGAGGGAGCCGAGAAGAGGACGGAGGGATGAGTGTGCAGGAGGGGAATGCAGCGCTGGACGGAGGGGGTGCCGTGAGGTGCTCCGGGGGAAAAGCAGCTCTGAAGTCCCATCCCGCAGGTTAAAGGGCCAAGCCCAGGAGGTGGCCAGCAGCCCACTGGAGTTATTGCCCCCTCTTCCCAGTCCACCAGCAGCTCCGAAGCCATTCCCCCTTTGCCACAGCACTGAGGTGTCCTCCTAAAAAGAGCCACTTTCAGCCCCCCAATGCTCAGCCGCAGTTTGATGCCACCCGGTTCTGGTAGCAGGGGCTGTCAGCAACCTGGAGCCAGCCCTGGTCACTACTCGGAGCTGGTAGGGGTGAAACACGAAGTGGGGATGGGAACCCACCACCAGGCACATTGAGACGTGGCAATACCAGGGGGTTGTGTTGGCCAGCAGCAGCTCAGAGGTGGAGCAGGGGCAGCCCTGGTGCCCGGCACACAAAACGCTGCTGTTTGTGCTGTTGTCTTAGAAACTGTGAGAAAAGCAAAGAGATGAAGGAACCCAGCGCAATCATCGGGGCAACCTCTCCCCCCAGGAAGCCAGTGCAAACAGTAGGGGCAGGGAACGGGGAGGATTTCATGCCGCTGGGAGCTATCGGGATACATCCAGGGGCAGGAGGGGGGAAGGAGAGGCTGCATCGCCTTGGAAGTGGAGCCAGGTCAGCCAGCCCCAGCTGCATGTCCCAAATGGGAACAGATGACTTGCAGGGGGCGAGCCACCAGGAAAGCCCCAGCTCCTTGGGAAGAACTACAGGGAAACATCCCACAGAGAGCCTGGAAAGCCACCTCGTCCAGCCAGATGTGCAGCAGGAGGACCAGGCCAGGGGGCTGCCTCTGCACCCTCCATGGACTATCCCGCTCCACATCCCTTCTCTTTGGGATGCCACATGCTACTCCAGGCAGGTTTCAAACCCACACCAGGCTTGGGGGCTTGAAGAGTCCTCATGGCTTCAAAGAGGATGAGACCCAGGACACACAAAGCACTGGCCCTGCTCTTTTCCACAGAGAAGATTCCAGTTTCCTCCAGACAAACGTTGAGTCTTGCTCAGAGAGAAGAACCTGCCTATTCCCCTGCTTGCTGCTGGGGAGATGAGCAGGGGAAAGAGAAGATGAAGTTAAATCCAGCGCAGCAGCCAAGATTCTAAGGGGGTTGTCTCCATCACATCCCTCAGCAACAGTGGTCTCAACCCACCAGACACGCTTCCTACCTCTCAGTTGCCCAAACACAACTAAAGGCTCACTATGTGCTCCACTTGGTTTCTCTGCCCAGCAGCTCCAGTCTGGATCGTGCTGCTAAACTGGGGCTCTGCAGCAGCAGCTCCCCCCCTCCTTCCATCCCTCCCCAAGCCCAGATCCCGGAGCACCGGGTGCTCCCATCTCCTGTCTCATGAGCATTGCGGCATCACCCTGATAGCGAAAGACCTTGTGTCCCCTCTGCACCTCGGTGACACCCAGTGGCACTATTTAGGGAGGTGGCAGCCACCTCTGGGTTCCTGGAAAGCGCCTGACTGAGCACTGCCTGGCTCCAGCAGCTTCTGTAGCTCAGGAGCACAGCGTCACCTCATTTACCTCCAGCTACTCGGAGACGGTGGCTTTGGCTTTCTCCGAGGTGACGTCCCTGCAAGTGATGACCCCTCAGCGGGGATGGACTCTTCCTGTGGCACATCCTGGTGACACAAGGCTTTGCCTCAGCAGTGTCCTTGCAGTAGCCTGTGCTACAGGCACAGCGACAGGCTTGGGGAGCAGGGGAAGGAG